TCATGATTTCGTGAGCTGCCTCGTAACAATATGACTGATATAATTTTTTTATTAGCTAATTCTTTTTTCTCTTAACAAAAGTTGTTATTACAGCTAGGATTTGAAAATAATAATAATCTTCTAGACAAAAAGCTGCCTAGTTGTAATGGTTCCCAATATTACCTTACGCATAACCACCTAGCATTAATGAAACTGCAGCAGTTTGCTTTTGAGAAAATAAATTGCAACAGTTTTAAAAGAAGAATAAGCAAAAAGACTTGTGATTCCCTAAAAACAAAATAAAAAAACCAATAACTTTCTTCTCTTCTCAGGCTATAGCCAAGCAACCTTCTTCTTCTCTGATACACTATGTTGCACCGATACGGATACGGCGACACGGATACAACACGATACGGATATGTGACACGTCAATTCTTAAAAATACGGGATAAGGGTACGGCGCAGACACAGCATTATAATTTATAAATCATACATAAAAATTAAGAAAGCAATCAAAACATAATATTTAAAATTACAAAAAAAAAGCAACATCATTTGTAGCCTTGTAGCTTATAAAATTAAAATAAAAGTAAGCATTAAATGTCTAGTACAACAACAAAAGCATAAACATAAATTGTCTAGCACATGAAGTTTCAACTATTTAATAAAAGAAATGATATAATTAGCTCTTGAGTAGTTTGTCTTTGAACTTCTATATCATCTTCAATAAATATCATAGCTTCTAATTCAGGCTCATCAAGTGAAAGATTAGCAATTTCTAATATTCTCATATCATCAAGAGACTCAAATCCATCTCGAAAATGAGAGAACCTCGCTTACAACCGCGGAAGTAAATATGACGCGTCTTTTTTCAGATTTTTTTTTTCAACGGAGACGTGTTCTTTTGAAATTAAATAGTATTTTAATTGGATACGGATTTGTCGTATCCGACACGTATCGGTGCCTTAACGGAGGCGTATCCATGTATCAGTGTATCGGATACGGCATGCCTTCATAAATAGGTGTATCGGTGCAAAATAGTTGACACACATGATCTTCCTCTTTGTCAATGAAGCCGGGATCTCACAAGCTGCTCGCGAGCCCATTTTTACCACCACAAGCCGAGCTTGAGCTCGACTTGAGTACGAGCTCATGAATTGGTTGCTGAGTAGCTCGAGTTAGGCATGACTCGAGCTTGACTCGACTTATTAACACCCCTAACGTCGCCTCATCAAGCGCCGCACTTTCAACACAATATCAGAGGCCACAGAGATAAGGAAGAACATTATGATGCTCTCTTCTTTGGAGTTTTGCAAAATAATTCAGCACCGCAGCACCAACATACCATAGTGTCGCAACGCCAAATAGTCCCAACGCTACGACGCCATTGTTGGGACGATTACATGATGAAATGAAACATTAATTCAGACCCAAAGCCGCAGCACTAGTTCACTTCTTCAACGTCGCAATGCGAACTTTTGTGGCGCTAGAGTCAGTTAATATACTTAATATAAATAGTTTTTGGCCGAAGTTGTGAGGGAGGTCTAGTAGTTTATTGTGCAAAAAAGTGTGTAAAAGTCATTGGAGAGTGTAAGAGTGGGAGTACTTAAGGGAAGAGCATTCGAAGAGAGAAAAGTGTTTGTAATCCATTGTAAAGTCGCTTATGAGTGACATCTTAGTTCTTACTAACTCTCTCAATTGTATCTTATTTTTTCTTATTTTAATGAAAACTATTTGGTGTATTTTTAATGTCATTGCTAGCAAAATTCTTTATTCTAGAACTGTGATGAGTGATAAAGTATGATTTACCTAAGTAGACTTTAGTTCTTGCAATGTTTAATATTGTTTTCAATTCCCTCAAACTTAATTAATTATTGCACTGGTCATGCTCTAATTTAAAATCTAATGTGACTTGTTACCTCAATAGAGAAATAAGGGAACAAATAAGAGATTTGAAATTGAACGCTACCATGCCTAGACATAAGATGGCTATGGTTTTGAATTATAAGGAGATATAACAATTATAGTTGAGTGAAAACTTTGCTTCAAACTATTACAAGCTCAACAGAGATCTAAAAGTAAATTTGCTCTTATTCACAATATACAACTGGAGAGTCAAACTTAGGTAAAAATGTGTTTCATCACTACCATAGATTCATGACACTTTCATAAATTGAATTTGTATTTCACTAATTGCAGTTGGAATTTTAGAGAACTCAATTTTAAATTAGGATTGGTAGGATAAATATCATGATTTCCATCAACTGCACTAGGGTAATATTAGGATAGTTCAAGTTCAAGTTCAAGTTCTCGTAGGATCAACACTCAACTCACTCTTTATTACTTGATCGGCACATGCACTTGCATTTAATTCAGTCTTTGTTTATTTCTGAGCTTATCATATCTTATATTGCATGCAAAGAAGCTATATCAATCCATCGCAAACAAAATTCATATTTATAAGATGATTACAATATATTATCAAAATATGAGTTATAATCACCTAATCTAAATAAGAATTAATTAACTAAGCCTTTAAACAAGATCATGGAAGAAAGTAGATGCAAGGAAAATCAAGAGGCTTATAAAAATAGTAGGTTTTCTTAATGGCGGCCTTCGATCAAAGGAGAAAGTAGGAAAACTCTTAACAAACCCTCGATTCAAGAAAAAGAAGGCGACGAATGGCTGCAAGAGGAGTGAGTCGAGGGTCGAGGATCTTCTATAACGATAGCAGCAATAGACAAAGTCAAAGAGGAAGGAGAGGGGAGAAGTTTAGTAGCTAGGGCTTCAAAAGAAGGGAGAAGGTGCTCTGCGGCTGTGAAGAGGAAAATATGAATAGCATTAGAGCGACACCATATATTCGTTTCCTTAAATCAACCAGAGTCGAAGGCAGCAGAATCATATAAGGAGGCAAAAACTGTGTGATTCACATGATTGGAGAAAGGGGGTGGAGAGAGAGAGAGAGAAAGAGAGAGAGAGAGAGAAGTGCAAGGCGTCGCATGATAACTAAGATATAGGAAGTTCTATGAGTTTTCCTTCCATTTTGTACACCTCTTGTGGTTTTATCAGTATTAGATCAAATCATCTCTCCTATTCCTAGATGTAGTCAAGCTTAGTTGCAGTTGGACCATGTTAACTTTCATGTTTTTGTATTGTACTTTTCTTTTTTCTATTTTTAGCTTGACACATCATTTCAATACTAGTGATGCTTTAGCTTCAAATTTTTTGGCAACCTCAATAAATTACCCTTCTTCATGAGCAACTATCCTTCCATTTTTCTTCATTCATAAAGCCCTTCAAGTAACACTTAAACCTAATTTCCATCACCTCATCATTGAATGGAAAAGTGTGTTCCCTCGCTGACACAAAGTTGCTTTCATTTTGAATTGTTGTTTTGTACATGTTCATACTTCTATGAGGATGGAACTATAGTAGTAATAGTTACAATTTCAACAATCAGTGCTGAGGCCCACTATGAATAGAGGTGTAAATGAAGAAAAATAGACCGAATTTTGAGGTACTGTGTGAGAAAAAGTAGATAGAATTTGGTAGATTTTACATTATTTTGTTTTGCTTTACTTTAACCGCCACTATGAATGGAAAAAGGACTGGCAAAGCTATTATTTTATTTCATGATTTTGCACATAGATGTGCCCTTCCAGTATTCTTACTTTTCAGGACCACCTTCCCCTCCTATTTTAGGTTCTTATGCCTAAACAAAGAAAATGCTTACTTATTGTTCGTAGGTCCAATCATGGAAAACAGACCATGCAATAAGGAGCTTGTCTATTTGTCCTTCGCATGGCTCCTTCAACCAAGGCTTCTAGTCCTTCCTTTCAAAGGATTCTGTGAATCCTTCTTAGCATGCCCATGTAAAACATGTGATACTTAAAAATGACAATCAGAACTCTTTGCAAAAGGAAAATAATCGTTGACATTAAATTTTTTATTTGCATAAATCAATTGCATATCACCTCTGCCCATTAACATCTAAACTCCTAAAGTACATTAGAATTTTTTACAGGCAAAAGTACTCAGTTCTTTTAGTTCTTTTCTCGTTAAAATAACACTTCACATGTCCATATGTTCCCTACAAAGACAAAGAATACTACAACTTATATCTTAGTTCCTCATAATGGATAAGATTTGCTTGAGCTTGTTGTTGTTATGTGAAAATTGTTCCTTAATAATTTTGAAAGACCATAATTTTCAAGTTAAAATGTCAGAACAACATGGTCACACAACAAAGAAGGCACAGTTTTGAAAGAACAATCATTAGCAAATCTCTACCTATTGCAACTATATCGGTAGATTATGACACTAAGCTAGTAGAACACAGCATGAACGCACAGTGCAAGATAAACAAGGTAGGAATTTTTATCCTTCTTGACCGTCAAGTGATCACTTGTAGTGATTGCTAAACCAATTCCTTACCGGAGGTGGATGATTATTCACTCCATAAGAGGGCTTATTCAACCCAATCATAACATGTAATACTTAAAATTGAATGCGCTCTATATCCTGGAAAAAGGATGCACCATACAATTGGGAGACAAGTAATGACACTGATGATGACAAAGAATTTATGTTTTCTCTTTCAATTTGAAGGTGGTAGATTATCTTTAGACAAATCTATCAAGGACAAAGTCATCCCCAATAAAGAACTGCATTTTTAAATGTTTCTCATAGATCTTAGACATAGATAGGTAAATTATCTCACCAAGTGCTGCAGAACTCATTTCCTTTCTAAAAACTTAGAGAAATCAGACAAAACTTTTGAAGGACAAAGCAAAATATGAAAATAATAATAATTTGAGACCAATAATCACATTTAGAACTACCAAAATTGACTTTGTCCATTTAAAACTTCAAAATTATATGATTCATTCCATGCCACTTACAGAGGCAACAAAAGCTATTGACCGCAAAGACACGTCATTGGATTTATTTAAGGAAAAAGGAGAAAAAAACAAGCACAAAAGGACCTTCGTAGCTATAGAAATAGTTAAAAGCATTGATACCCGGAATAATCTGGAACTTGGCAGAATCACCACATCCATTCCCTTTCTCTTCTATTTGCTGACCTGAACCCAATCTTTGATCAACAGCATGGTGCACTTGCCCGGAAGCACAAGTTAATGAGGTGTCTCCCTTCGTGTGTTCCCCAGACAAATTCTTGAATTGACTGAAGGGTTCCCCATAGAGTGGCTGAGATCCAATCCACCATGGAGCCAAAGATGTCTGGGCAGGCTGACCAAGAGAAGTCTGGCTGACACTGCTAGTGTTCTTAAAGCAAACCATATTCTGCATCTTACAAACCCTCCGAAGCACAAATGGAATGTTCTGGACATTTAGCACAAATATCGGACATCAGATCAGTAAAGAGAGATTAATCAAGCAAACGGGCCACATGAATCAAATGCTGTCCATATGGAAACCCATCAAATATCCATGATTTATGAACCATAAACTTAAATAAAAGGCCAATAAATGAACTTTACAGTTGAAACTCTCAGATATTTCCATTAGAACACTGGAAAACGAGTCAAATACTCAAATTAGAAGAACAATGAATAGCAAACAACCAAGAAAACACAAAAAAAGGAAGATTCTGCTGCAGATGAAGATCAAATGGCAGAGAAATGCGAGATTCAAGTAATTTGAAAATTATGCAACTATCTTCAATTCCGAAACCACAAAAAGGGAAATCTTTCAATGAACATTATCCTTCCAAGGGCACGCCTAAAAAAAACACCTCCCCCATTTCACAACTAATCTTCATCACAACAAATAAAGCAACAACCCCCGAAAAGAAACCTAAATGAAAAATAAAAAGCAAGTAAATCATCCAAGTCAGCTCTCTACCTGAAAAATCAAAAAAAAAAAAAAAAAATCAAACAAAACAAGGAACCCCAAAGGAGCAAAATAAAAAAGTTCGAAGAATCTGATCAACATAAAGTAGACAGAAAAGAAACCATCTCAAAGGCTTGGATTTTGGGTTCACCAAAGACAGAAAGAGTACAAAGATGCTAAAGATAACTCACATTCCAGTACCTGAAGCTGCAGCCCAGTACCAAGTGAGACAACCGAAGAAGAAGGACAGCAAAACCAATAGGATTATAAGTAGGCAAAGAGAAAAAGGGGAGAGGAGGAGAGAAAACACAAGGAATACGTGCCGGAATGTGTAATGAGGAGAGACAGGAGGCCTCCGCCAATCGCAGAGCCTTTCAAGCCCAAATCCACTGCTATTTTATTTTCTCTCTCTTCCTTTCCTCTGGAATTTTTAAAGAGCTCAAGTTGCGGGTTGTGGGGTTTTTTAAACTCCCTGGAATTAAATAATTAATGGGGGGTACAGAAAGAGAAGGCAAAAAAAATTAAAAATCATAGTTGAGCACCATCCTATAATTGGAGCTTAATATCTCTTTTTTTCTTTTTCTCTTTCTTTTTCAAAATTATTTATAATTAAAATTTTAATCTTTTATATCTCATAATACCTATCTTATTTATATTTTAATTTGGATAAATATTTTTTAAAAATTTTTTAACAAAATATTCCTATTAAGATATGGGTTTCGTTCGATATAATTTTTTGTCACTATTTTTTAGTTTAAGAATTTTTTACATTAAAAAATTGTTTTAAAAAATAGTAAGAAACATGTTTCAAACGGAATCTTAATCAATTATATTCATAAATTACTAATTAAAAAACTAATAGCCTCTGAAAGTGGAACGAGCCTGATTCAAACACATATTCAAACCAACTTCGTCCATACACTACCTCCACTCCGATAAGAACCTCAAAAACTATGACTCTTGGGCCGTCTTTACTAGAACTGATTATTCTTTACGGAGTCCTGATCCAGAGTTGTTTCTGGACTGTGAGTGTACACAGTATATATACATTTATTTCTTTTATTTTTTAAAATAAAATATTGAGTAAAGATGATGGGTTCTGTATAAAAATAATGTACTACTCAAAATTATGAAAATCGGACTAGACAACTATATGATGTAATAATTGAGAAATCTTCATTCATTAATGTTGAAAATATTCCAAATAAAAATTCAATAATTTCTTAATATGATATATGTTTAAAGATGACTGTTAAGATCAGAATAGACTAATAACTCAAAATTATTTTGTAGTGATAATGATGTTAAGTAGTACTTTAGATTTTATTCCAATTCAATAGCATTCAATTATTTTATTGCACTAATAAAAAAAATTAGTCCTTAAAATGTAGGGAAAGTTTAATTAAGAGACATGTCAAATTATGCATGCCAAAGTAGTGAAAGGCTCAACCAAATCATTGAAGTAATGAGAATAAAGATAAGATTTCTCTCATCTTTTGCAACCAATCCAGTTTTTGAAAATGTCAAATGGGGTGAAACAGCCAACATATCCAGCAAGAAATCATCCCAGGCATCACAGTAACAGTCTTTAACATCAGTGTGAAGATGTTTAACTTGCTCAACAGAAAACCAAAGATTTTAGAAGAATCTAAAATTTTAGGGTTAAAAAAAACTTGCCTCACACTGTCAATAGAATAGAGAAGAAGTGAGGATGATGCCAAAGAAGAATACTATGTGTTGGGGAGGTGAGCTCATCATCATCGAGTTTGCGAATCACCAATGGCAGCAACACCTAGTGCTAGCAGAAAAGATGAACAGGATGGCACACACGAACTCGCAAGCGAGTGAAATGAATTATGACATGGGAGGGGATCGAACATCATTAAGTTATTTTCTCGAGTTTACTCATTAATCGTTGGATCTAAAATTGATGGCTCAAACCCACCATTTTTTGAACCGTGCGGCTCTTAAGAACTGATGTTGGTTCTACGATTCGTCGGTCCGACCAACCGGACAAGAGGTTTTTGCCTGATTTGATTCGAAACATGTTCTAAGGGTTAATCAAACCAGCCGCCCAACCGATTGAACCAACTGGTCTGGTTCGATTTTTAAAACCATGCTACTACCTTTAGACAAAAGATTTTTTTTTTTCATTTTTTTTAATTATCCAACCACCAAAAAATGAAAAAATGAAGTCCATAATTTATTATATGACCAATCAATAACATTAAATATTTTAAATTTATTTACTTTACTTTATATTATGATGATATTGTTGATAGTATATAATATGCCAAAATTTTAAGAACTTGCAAAGAAATAATCCCTAAGGTTGATCTTGTTGATAGGGTTGGAAACGAACTAAGCCAAGTCGAGCAGGTGCTTGTTTGTGTTTTAGCTATTTTATTTATAGATTGTTTGAGCTTGATTTGAGCTCAATTCTAGCTTTTTTGTTTGTGCACAAACTTAGTTTGTTTAAAATTGTACATGCTTAAGTTTGGATTGTGTTCAGCTCATGTTAGGTTCATGTGGAGCTTATCAAACCTTAACAAACAACTCGTATAAAATAATAAACAAGCCTCATCAAACTATTAGCACGCTTCTACTTTCAAGATGTTCATTAGTTTAACAAATGAGCCTTATCAAGCTCGTTAACGAACGCATTTAGCGAGCTTAGCCCATAATCGAGCGAGTCTATCAAGTTAGAGCTTAAAATTAAGTAGCTTGTCAAGCTAAAAAAATGATACTTATAACAAATGAGCTTCTGAATGGACACTCAAAATAAGAATCTATCAAATGTGGACAAATGCCTCTATCTAATAGATGATATAATGTTTAATTATTTTTAAAATTTATTAATTAAGGATTATTATGTTATTAAATTGTAATAAATATAAAACATTGATATTAGATTATTAATTATTTTCATAATGAGACTTAATTGAGCTCCATATCAAACATTAATCGAGTTTCTTAATGAACATGTTCACAAGCTCTGTTTCAAATATGAATCGATCTTCTTAACAAGTTTTATATCGAGCTTGTTCACGATCTTTAAATGATATATTTTTTGAACATAAATGAGTCGTACAAATAGCTAATCAAGTTTGTTTGATTACTTAATCAAACGATATTGAACAAGCTATAATTGAGCCAAGTCATGAATAACTTATTGAACTTCCAGTTCGTTTGGAGCTCCAATTATGGAGAATGAGAAGGGCTGTATATATTTTTCTTGGTTTAACACTAAAGATTTTCAGATTATGTTTCTAATATACTTGGCAAATCTACACTGATGAGAAGCCTCAAGAATTTGCCCTTTTTATTCCTTTATCTTTAGATCTAAACCTATTTTTAATACTCTATGCAAGCAAATATTTAATATTAATATTTTTGGTCATTTACTAGCTCATAATAATAAAATTTTAAGCTTTTTTTTTATAATGTAAGCATGTAAGCATCTTTTGGTCATTTGTTAGGTCTTAGATTGATATCTTTTTAATGTGCTACATTGACACTATCAGAAGAACGATCTACATAATTTTTTTTATCACTTTTCCCAAAACAAAGATCGAGTTTTTACCATCACAAGAGAAGTTTTTTCATAACTTCTCCCAAAACAAAGTTTTCTTTATCATAAACATAGGTAGATACATAATTTACTGATTAATTATAAGAAGTAGAGAGTAGGAATAAATTTATTATAAGAAGAAAGTATGGAAAGATGTAGATTTTTAGATGAGCATAGCCCATTAATTTTTCTTATATGATATATTTTATTTACAATGGTCATTTTGATCTGCTAGTTGGAAGCTTTAGTTATCAATCAAGAGGCCGATCTTAAGTTTGTAGACTGTGCATGTGATGTATGTATGAGTCAGCTTTAATTGGCTCAAAAGTCTCAACAAAATATTTTATTTTACATTATTTTATGTTGGTTTAAAATTCATAAATGTTAATATCAAACAAAATACCCACATAATATATAAAAAATCACATTCAACTAAAGTTCCCTTGAAGGGAAAAAGATTCATGAGATAGTAAAATTCAATAATTAAATAATGATCTATTCTAGATCATTCTTTTTTCTTATCTTTTAAATATTGATTTGAAATAAAATATATTTTACACTTAAAAATATAACATTATTTATTTGTATTGAATATTAAATAAAATGATTTATGTTGTCATGATGGTGACCACCGGTGGAGCAATGATGCAACCAACAATGGCTAGACGAGATGATTGGTTGTGTGGATGGAGGTTGCAATTAGAGTGACCCCAATACTAACTATTTGATGATGGCCAATTGAAGTTGGAGGTGGCAGCCAACATCACTTGCAAAAGCTAATGGTGGTTGATGATGGCAACGAAAGACTCTGGAGGTCAATGGTGACCAACTATAGTGATAGTTATTAATACACTCAAACACCTTAAAAATATTATGAGTGCTTATTGGTGAATTAAATAGTGAAGAGAAGATTGACTCTAAACAAGTTAGTATCAAGAATAAAAAAGTTGAAGTGAAGGAAAGGCCTAAGTCAAAATTATTCCTAGCAATCTTCCTCTATATATTCCACATTGCAATACCCATAGTGCTTTAAGAAGAAGAATTTAGACAACTAATTTTGAAATATCTTAGATGTATTCAAAAAGTTTAACCATTATAGCTAAATGATCCATATAGTTTAACCATTCATTGCACTATTGACAGTATGCAACTTAATATAACATTATGTGGTTTTAGAGCAATTATAAATCTAATGCTATTATCAGTCTATAAGAAGTTTTGATGAAAGTAAAAAAAAAAATCCTTTCAATAGGGTTCATTGTGTTGGATATTGGAGAAAAAGATCTAAACTATCTTATCATTCTAGGTTGATTGTATTTAGCACCAAAAGAGTACATATAGATATTCATAAGGGTGAGTTGCACCTCTAGGTTCATGAGAATAAGGCGATTTTTGAAGTATATGATGACTTGAAACTTAAACCATTAAAGAAGAATTGTCATTGTATCATAAAAAAGAAGTTCAGAGCCTTGAATATCACACTGAGTTTATAGATGTAAGTCAAGAAAAAATTAAGGGAGGTGATGTTTATGCAAAAGTAGTTTCCAAGAGCTACCAGTAAATCAATATAAAGAAAGATTCAATTCATCAGTCATACATAGTTGAGGAAATTTTTATTAACATTATAACACATGATAAGTGAGTTTAAAACATCAACCTTTATGATGTCCCAGTTAGAATAACATATATGTTAGATTTGATACCATGTTAAGAAAGTTATAGGCATCAATAAAAAGACTTGGTTATAAAGTATTAAAAATGAACTTTTCTTTAGATGTAAATGAGAATCTTACTTTTAACAGTACACAATGTAGAAAAAGAATTCATGTAGCTAACCCCACATAGTGGGATAAAGAATTGATGTTGT